TGGGGGGGGCAGGAATCCTTAACCTCCCCACCCATTTTTCCAGTTTTTCCCAGGACTTCCCGTCAGCCGTGGCCGAGGCTTCTGATAGCAACAAATACATTGAAAAATATTAGATAGAGATATTCAATGTTTTCTTGGGTTTTGTTCGGTTGATGTGCAGAAGTCTACGTTTCTGGTGCCTCCGGTTTATAGACCATTTTATGACCGGCTGGTGTTTTCAGGATACAGCCTTCTCTGCTGTTCGTTCTGCTTCCTTGTGTGGAAATGTGACATGTCCTTTTTTGGTGGGTTTTGGTTTTCCCACCTGAGTCCCTGCAAAGCCAGATCCTCTGTGAGGTTGGTCTCGTCCCCATCTCCCCCTGTTAGTGCTGCTGCTGTTTCTCAGCGCTTTTGTTCTTCTAGCTGGAAACAACAACCACCACCATCACCCTGGTGGAGACAATGGCTGCTGTCTTGTCATGTTTGCCTTGTTCTCTCCTGGCTTTCGTCCTCTGGACAGATCTGGGCAGAGATGCTCAGGCTTGGCACTGGCTTTCTGCAGCTGGGAGAACAAAGAACCAGCTCAGATAATCTGCAGAATCTCCTAGTCAAAATCTCCCGTTCCTGGACCATCGCCACCCTCCTGGCACTTAAAAATCTAGCAGGTCCAGGAGAAAGCGCTCAGAGGTTGGAGCCAAAGTTAGTCCTGGGTGGAATAGACCCACTCAGGTCAGTAGATTTGTCGCAGCCTGAACTCTTGAGGCTCATGGGCTTGCTAAAAGACCAGCTCCCTTTTCCTGTGAGCCTGGCTTTTTCCCCTGCGTTCCTCAAAATCAGGTGGCGTTTTTGCACCTGCGGGCTCAGATCTGCCCTGCTGAGGGCTGCTGTGGTTCCTAAACTCTCCCTCCACCTTCTCTCTTTTCAGACCCTGAATTCCCAGAACGGTGGGTCGCCAAGTGGCACCGTAGTATAACCCCCCCTCGGCCGGCTGATCTCCTGACAGGTGACTCGAGTTCCTTGCTCTGCCGAGGCCGTTCGGCTGAGATGGTGAAACCCTTGGGACGCAGCAGCATCTGCGCTTTGTACAGGTTGTTCCCTCCCTCTCCTCGCCTGTCTGGAAAGACAGAGACACTCACGGAGTTAATTAATCGACGGAGACCTATGTAGCACAGCACCCTTTGCACTTCTCAGCTATTTAAAAGTATTAATGAACGAACCTTAGAGGTCTGCAGGTATGTGTGTTTTTTAGGACCACGTTTCCCAGAATCCCCCCAGGCGGCAGGGCCATTGGGAGCTGAAGTCCAAAAACGACACATTTGCACACTTCTAAAACCGTATTTAAAGCTAAGATTTTAGCACAGGCTGCTGGAGGGGCAGATTTTGCACAAGCGTGAACAGAGATGACCCCACCCCTTCCTCCACCCCACCCCCCAGGCAGAGATTTTGAACTGTCTTTTCCTTGCACTGCCGCAAACTTGAACGGCATCTGTCTTGATCTACATCTCTCCCAAAACACCTCCTAGAAGAAAATGAAAGAGGACCTTCTCGACGGGGGAAATGACCGCCCTCCACCCTGATCTGACAAAGGAATCCTTGCTGCTTCTTGCTGGGGTTTTTTCTTTTTATTCCCCTTCTTAAAAGGAAAAAAAGGCGGTTTTAATTTTCTTTTTGTGTGTGTGTTCTGCGCAAGATATCCTTGTTTTTCTGCCGGCAAGGAAGCAGAGGCCCATCCTTCCAGCAGCCGGCTTCTCCCATCCTTCGAAGCAGACTCCGCTCTCCGGGGCCACCGTCCCAGGGCAGCCGGCCTTGACTCCTCAGAGACGGGTCGCTTACCATTCAGGGTCCAGCGAGATACTGCCGAGGAGTACCTGCCGCCCTTTTGCCAACGTCATTTCTCAACGTCAGATCCACAGAGTCGTCGGTCTGCTCTGTTTTCTTTTCCCGTCCTCACAAACTCTGCCTGTGGTTTTTCTCCGGCGCTTAATGGACTGTTCCTCAACCCCCCCCCCTTGAGACCCATTTGCCAGCCATGGTTTCTTCTGCTCCCTCACCTGCTACCATCAAAGGATCTGCCTCTGATGGGATCTGAGGGCTGGGCCAGCTCAATGCAGTCTCTCCTCTGTCAGACGTTCTTGTGGCTTTGTCTGCTTCTCCCTGTTGATGTAGAGAGGTGTTGCTTGGGTTCCAGATGTTTTAACATACCTGGGGCCTCTTTGTACAGCCACATTCACCATCATGTCCTGGAATAATGAGGCTGGGCTGGTGGAGATGCTGGATCAGAACAATTATAGTCTCACCAGTGCAGGAGGGACAGAGGCTCCCTTATCACACACTCCAGGGTCCTCAGCAAAAGTAATTGAGTGCTTATGGAACGTGGTGTCCATGTAGCAAAATAAAGGTGGTGACTGCCCACTGGTGATACATTGCCCTGAGACTGGGTAGCCCACCTGGCCCTGTAAGTCTCTGTCTTGCCAACCACGATGCCCTCCAGATATGTTTGACCACAAAGTTGTTATTGTTTCCTGCCCTGGTAGGATGTCGCTGGGGATCATGGGAGCTGTAGGCCTACAGACGTGTCTGGGAGGTATCCCAGATAAGAAAGATTGAGACAGAAGGTTGAGGTTCAGTGGCTTTCCTTCCATGGTGGTCACTGATGGTAGGGAAGCGAACGTTTCGGGTACAGGAGGAGTTGATACTCTGTCGCCAAGGGCCAAGCCCTCCGCCGTCCCTGCCTGCGCACCCTCAGAATATGCATCCCAGGTGGGTCCATTTCCGGGAGCCCTTTTTTTGAAGGCTAAGATCTGAGAATTCTTTTTCTTAGAAACCATGCCAAGCATTTGTCTGCCCAAAGCGCGCTGGGCCAGCAGCCCATCGACAACTTGATCCAAAGAGGACGTTTATTACAAAAACACATCTATTTGATCCAGTGTTGTGGTGGTTTAAAATGCGCCAGTTTGTTTTGAGTGTTTTGGAAGTTAAGGAGAGTTCTAGAACATGTAAAATGGTGCGATTCTGTCAAAGGGAAAAAATGACAGTAAATCCAGATTCAGAAAAAAAAAATGACACTAAATACCAACCAATCCAGATTTGGCTAGGCTTCCCGTAGACCTGCTAAAAACCTTGGATTTGGTTTTCCTTACTGACTTCAGTGGGTCTCCTGTAAGTTGGGCTGTGTCTGGATGTAACCCTTTATCTTCAGGCATGTTATTATTTTTTGTATTAGTACAGGAGGATTCAATACGTTTTTGGTGTGTTTTCAAATCCATCTGGCCTATAGCTACAGATGCTAAAGGAGGTGCTTTGTTATTATTATTTTTTATTGGCTTATTGTGGTGAGTTGTTTAGAGGGCGGGTGGGCATTTAGACCATGTCGTGTTGGCATTAGCCAATAGGACGTGCCAAGGTCTGGCTGAGACCCTGTTGGCTCCATTGAGGTGGTGTTTGATGCCACTGGGAGGGGCTGAAGTGCACTGTCTGGGTGAACAGGCCCTGATCCAGGTGGCCAGCTGAAAGGCCCCTTGGATTTACACTGTGGTTGTGAGCTGGTGGTGTTCTCATGCAAGTCCTGTGGCTGTACTCCCTCTCTTGGTCCGAACTCCTCCGCCGGACTGGCAAAGGGTTCCACCGCCTCCTGCTTCACGGTGACTCCACCTTCGGCTCTCCGTCTTGCAAAATGCAACACCACCCCCCACCCCACCCAGGGAAGGTGAAAATCTCTCACGGCCGAGGACTGACCACAGCAAGACCCTCTCTCGTCCCCCAGGAAGAAAAAGCCATACTGGGTCCAGAACCACTGCACACACCGCCGACGCCGGCTGCCTCCCAGCCCAGCGAGAACAACCAGGAGGGCGCAGGCGAGGAACCAGCTTTTTCGGCTTTGGCTCTACCCGGATCCTTGGCGACCAGGACTCGAGGACCTCGGAGAACTGTGTTCATTTTGCTCTCTGCATTTTTTCCGTCCCTGCCTACTGGTGCATGTGACCCTCCCCATCCTTCCTCCCCATCACCTCTGCTGTCTTTGCCTGCCAGCTGGTGTCTGGCAGCCCGGATATCCTCCCCCCTGTCCCAGACAGCCTCCCCATCCCCGAGTCCACAGAAGAACACACCCAGAAGCTGCCGACATTTTCCCCCTGTGCCTTCGTCACTTTACTACCTGCTCTAAACGTTTGTTACTGTTGTGTCCAGGGGGGGGAGTGTTTAAATTATAGAATTGTGAACTATTTATACTAAAGAGACCGTTTTCACATCACCAAGTCCCCTGCTAAATGTTGGGAGGGGCGGGGGGAGGATTGTTGAAGGACGAGTCGGAGTGTGTTAGAGAATGAAAGGCTACATGTGGGAGCGTCCGTACCCAGGAAGAAAATGGATAAGAGTTTGTTTCTCCCGGAAAAAGAAAAAAAATTGGATTGTGCAACATGTCAAGTGTAGCTTGTCATTTCTGTGTCACCTGCCAAAACTTGGGAGTGGGTTGGGAAAATGTTTCCAAGGCCACCTCTGTGCCTTTCATCTCGACAGCGGGCAGAATTCTCAATTCTTTCAGAGAGCAGCTCGACAAGGAATCGGGAGTTGATCCCCTTTATTGATCGCTAAAAGAGGAAGCTTTCTTAACCCACATTGTCACAGATGCACAGTGTTCTTATGCGTCTAACCAAATGTACCCTATTACACCCGGGGAGGAGGAGGAAGGCGCAAGAGAGGAATAATAAATATGGGGAGGGTGGAGTGAAGGGACAGACCAAGAGGCGCACGTTGTGCAACACACAAGCTAGCCGTTGGCTCCCTCAAGCGAAACCTGGTTCTGTGCACTTTTGTCTTAAAAACACACATGCACAACTTCTGTTTGCTTTTAAGGAAGGCGGAGAGCAGAAGGCGTCCCTCCTGCTCAGGAGGGTGGGAAGGCAAGTACGGAAAGGTTACCGCTAAACACCACAATGCCAAATAAATTATGGAGAACCTTGTGTTTGTCGAAGTGCGGAGCGAGGAAGAGTCAGTGCTGCCCCCAGGTGCCTGAAGTGTAGAAGTGCAGATAGCTGTCCCTGTTGGCGGCCAGGGGCGTGTCGGGCGTAGAGCTTTCTGACCTTTTCCGAGGTCACACCTGGGATGCGGTAGCTGGGACGGGAACAGCTCCCTGCCTCTCGCAGAGACAATGTTCGCCCCCCACCAGCCCGCAGCAAGTTCCTCGATGAGAGTGTGACTTGGAGGCATTGGTCAACGCCTACGCCTGAACACGGCCAAGTGGCCTGCCGATCCCGGGAAGCCGGGTCCCCTGCTGGGGCGAACCCGTGTGCCCATCAGCTGCTTTTTGTGGGAATCCTTTGGGAGGACTTGGATCCGGTTCCAGTGGCCGTTCGCTTTTCCCGCCGGCTGCCGGTCTCCCATGCTTTGATGGCACCAGCCTCCCAGAGGGCACCCAGTGCTCAGCTACCGGTCAGGCAGAAGCAATGAGAAGCGTCTTCTGGCTGGCTTGTACGGAGGTCAGGGGTAGCAGCCCTCCACAGTGCCCTTCCAGCGAAAGGTCGAGAATCAAAATCGAGTCCTAGAGCAACTTCTTTCCACAGACCCACCACCAAGGCCTTTGCCTCTTGGAAAGTCTCATCCTGCAGGAGGAGGCTGGTGGATTGTGGCTGGTTGAATTTCTTTCCAGCTTGACTAGAGGTGGGAGTCACTGGGTGGGGGGCGGTGGCTTGGAAGCACCTGAGAAAGGTGGGATTTAAGAGGTTAACCACGGAAGGTGCAGGCCTTTGGATCTAGAAGCCCTGGAAGGCCAGGTTCCAAGCGCCTCCCTTTCCGCTCTGCCTGGAACAAGCTAATAAGGGGAGTAAGGTGGTTTCGGGAGAGGTCTGGAGTTGCCGCTGGACTTTCCTGCCAGCTTCAGCTGCTCGTATCTCACTGGAAAAGCTCCCCTCTTGATGTGCTCAAGACTACTAGGCAGGGATGTTGTAGCTGCCAAGCCGCCGTATTGTCCTGGCACAGCAAAGGGAAACAAGCCACAGCGGTGGAGGCAGCGGGCGCAGGAGAGGGGAGACCCCAAGCCATGGCTAGGTGCAAGGAGCTAGAGGTGGCTCTGAGCCACATTGTCTGCAGCGGGGGGTGGGAGGGAAGCAGCGGGACCCCGGATTTCACAGGGCTAGGCTCCAGCGCCCTCTGGGGTAATGGGCATCGGGTCAAAGGAGAGCGTCCCAAACCCACGGAAAGACTCCAGGCAACTCCAGGAGGCAGGCGTGCCCGGCAGCCCCCTTCAAACCGTGTCCGCAGGGCTCCAAGGCGCAGCGGCCTCCGGGCCCAATCCACCAGTGCACAAAAGCAGATAGCCCACCTTGACGATGCAGGGCCTATGTACCTGTGGAGGAAAAGAAAAGCAAGTTAGGACGCTCGGAAGACCGCTCCCTGCGAGCCAGCAACACCGAGAAGGAGCAGAGGAAAGGAAAGCGGTGGGGGGCAGTGACGGCGAAGGGGAGGGGGGTCCCCTTGCAGGTCGGAAACTGCTCGTTGGACCCGCCTTCTCTGGAGAGCAGCCCTGCCAGTCTATGCAGCACTGTTTTCCTCAAATGGCTACCTGCCCGCCGAGGCACATCTGCTGCTGAATTAAAACGAGGAGACACGCCTCCCAGCTGGAAGAGAAAGCGTTCAGACACCCAACCCTAGTTACACACTTGGGAGTGCTGCTCACTCACTCCCCCCGGGCGCTTCTGCATGGGGCCGCGTTCCTTGATGAAAGGTGGCAGACCCAGAACGGACATATTTTGCTGGCTTGCCCCATGCAGAACTCAAACGCCCTCCTGGGAGCTCAAGAAGGGTGTACGTAGTAGCTATCTGCTTCTCCCACTTGGTCTTATAAAACTAACCCTGTGAAGTAGGTCAGGCCGAGTGCGCTCTGTGGCTGACTCAGGATTTGAGCCCAGGTCCCGCAAGGGGTGGTTCAGGGCTTGAACCACTAACCGTTTTCCTGCTGCAGAAACGGAGAGGCTGGAATGCTCTCCAAGGGCTGCTGGTGGGACTCTCTCGGCACTCGGTTCCACCGGCTTCCCCAGAACAGCCGTCCTTGCAGGCTGGCTCTTCCCAGAACAAGTTGAGCCCTCCCTGCAGTGCGGAAGCAAGTGCTGTTCGGGCCCAGGAAGCCGGCCCTGGTGGCGAGAAAGGCGAGATTCCCTCCTCCCCTGCCATGCTGTTCTCCATGGGGGGGGAACTTCTTTGGGTCCTCGGTGCGGAGAAGGCTGGCCCGTCCACTTGGAGCCCTCTGCTTTGGTGCCACCTATGCCGTGGGGCTCACTGGCGCAGCGTGGACAGTCTAGCTGGGTCCTGACTTTCAGGCACAAAAGCCTGTGAAGCATAGAGACACACACACACGCACCCCGAGGCCAAAGGCACATGGCCTTTCGTCCCTTCTCCAATCGTGCACCACAAAGGGGAAACCGGACTGGATTTATTTCAGGCTCCACACTTCCTCCTGGGTTAAGGACAAAAGGTCAACTAAATTGGTTAGGACTTGCCTCGTTAAGGTGGTGTAAAAAGGTAATCCATAAGTGCCATGTGAACAAAGAAAAAGGGGGAGGTCTTAAATCAGTTCCTTGTTTGGAAAAAAATGAACACCGAGCCTTAAAAATGCATAAATGCAACACAGTAAAGAAAATCGTGGATGTGGTTCAGAACCCAGTAAGTTCTAAGAAGCCATCCCAACATATAAACCATGCAGCATAATAAAACCAAGCTTAGAAGCATAAATTCAGGCCCCTTAGGAAGATAAGCCTAAAATGTCTTTTTTTTAAATTTCGAAAGTGAGTGGATTGTTCAATGCAAGTGCTAACCGGTTTGGTTTACATTTTGTCCTTGGCTGTTTGTTGCTATTTTTAAAAGGCTTTTATCCTGCTTTTTCATTTGTGTTGCATTTCACGGGGCAGGATTTGGCCCTCAGGAGCTTTCAATCAGGACCCCAGAGGGGCGGGGTGGGGCTGGGGGGGGGAAGGAAAGAACGGCAAGGTCAAGCAGGGCAGAGCTGCTACCAGCGAGACTACAGCGAACGCCATCCCCCGGAGATGCCCGGGGGGCGCAGAGCCAGAGAAGCAAAGGGTGTGCGCACACTCGGAAAGACAGCAGCCGACATACCCTGGAAAAGAGCAGCAAGTGTCGGTACAGAGGTACCACAAGCGGGTATTCACAGAGCCGAGATGCCACGGTGCCACTTTGCTGGAAAGAGAAAGCAGAGGTCACCAGTCAGCCGGGCACAGCGCCAGAGACGGGCGGTCAGGGGGTGACGACGGGGTCGGGGGAGGCCCAAGCTACAGCTGCGTGGCTCCTACGCCTGTGCCCTGTGGCCGCCACCTTCTAGCAGTGGTTTGTGGCAGAGCATATTTTGCGAGATTCGTTATTTCGTGCTCTGGGGCACGGAGGGCGGGGGAAGCAAAGTCCCCCGGAAGGATGCAAATGGGCGGCCGGGCGCTCTAATCTGTAGGTCATGGAGCGAAAGAGAAGGAAGATGTTGCCGCAAAATTCACAGAACCCCAAACCTAGAACCGCACGGTGGTACAGGAGAGCCCCCACCACCCCATCCCAGCTCTCCCCTCCTTGTGGCCCCAGGAGAAAGCCCTACCCTGAGCTCCCTCCCCCTTTCCTTCCCTCTTGAGGTCTGGCAACCTGCAAAGGCTGGCTTACATCGACAGGGCGCTCCAGGCAGCACAAGAAAGGGTGCGGGTGGTTGTGGGGCCAGCGAGGGCTCCACCCCAGGGCAGCTGGAAGGAAAAGAGAAATGTGGGGCCCAGTGTTCTTGGG